GGTGGCACCTCCGAGCCCCCGCGCCTGTCCCGGTACAGACTCCTCCAGATGCCTCCAGCACTGAACCACGACAATAACAATAACAGAGATACCTGTTCAGCCTTCGTCATTTTCTAACTGTCATGAGGGCATTATTCTATAGCGGCATATCAAACGTCACATTTCAGATTACCTTTGGAGCCCGCCAAATTATTTTCTACATCACGGATATAAATACAAAATGTGCCTAATAACCTGCCAGCGCCTTTGGTTTGTGTCACCACTTCTCATCAGCTCGATAATAATGATAAGATGGGGACTGATGTGTGTGGTTTTTTTTTTGTTGTTGTTTGGATTTGTTTGGGCTTCTCTCACACACTTTTTCTTCCGTTGTTACGACCAGCGGAGTGAAACAAATAATAATATCACTTTTCTTAATTGATTTGTTGCAGCACCAGAGGCCATTTTACAGTCCACCTCATGCTTCCCTCGGGCTTATACAACGCTTTAGTTCTCATCATATTTACATTCATTATTTTGTAACATACTCGTAGCAGATCTGTAATTATTTTTGCATATGCAAATATAGGCCCTCATTCCAGTTGTAGAGGTATTGCTACCAACATAATAGCACTTGGAGGGTTTTTATTAAATATATTCTTATGGCCTGTAGCTTATGAAGCCACACACAGTTACAGCTATTTATAAATTCATTTATTTGATTTCAATCATCTTCGACCATATAAACTGTGTGGACTCTGAAACAGAGCCGAGAATAGAAAGAGGGGTTGACGATGCTATACACCTGCCTATAATTTTATTGTACGTTCAGTATCAAAATTTTATAATCTTAAATACTCCTGTTATTGGTTTATTTCTTAAGTATTTTTTCGAATATTGTACAGTTTTATATATTACCCTTTTGAAGTCATTAATTTAAACAAATGCTCTTAGTTATTCATGCACTTAATTAGCAATGTAAAAAAAAAAAAAAAAACACAACACGATATTTTCAGTAAGATTGAACTGTTTCGGCGGTTTTATTCCAAATTTCGATGACAGCTCAAGTAATTATTTATTTTCAGTATAAAGCTTGTATTATGTTTTGAAATAAACTGTATGTTGTAATAAACATTTTCTTGCTACAACTGTTCACTGTCCAAAACAGAATTCAACTTCTGATTAATGCGTATTGAATATTTTAGAAGTAGGCTAAAAATCTATCAAAATTATTATTATTATTATTATTATTATTATTATTATTATAGAGAAAGCAATAATGCATAATGTATAATTAATTTTCTTTATTCAGTATTCCTAAAATTCATTTGGCATAATTTGAATATGGGTTCAATTTAAAATTGTGGCTGATTATGATGATACTAAACAGAACATTATGCTCCATTTATGTATTTATACACACCAGTACAACAATGCTTAAGCAGCATAACCTTCACTTAGCTTCAATGTCATGTCAAAAGGCAACTTTTTCCAAGTTTTTCATGCCACTAACAGCTGTAAAATATCCAGTGGTTCAACAGGACCTTGGCTGCAGGTCTGCAGGCTCTACGGATCACAGCAAACTGAGACACTTTCTCCAGCAGTTCCACTGAAATGTTATTGTCCGGGCCCTCTGCCCTCCTCAATCAGACATGCGTGATTTATCGCCTGGGCCGCTGGGCCTGACAGCAAAACACAATGACACACACACACACACACTTAGACACACACAATCAGAAGCAGATGAATCTCATTTCAAAGACTACAGCTGCGTATAATTGGCCATGCAAGGGCAAAATAGAGCGATATTCCTAAAATAAATAAAAAACGCCTAAAATAATTTAGGCATGGTTTGGAAATAAGTAGGCCTATAGATGCAGCACTACTTAAATGATTCAAAAATAGAGCTGGAGAGGGAGAGTGAATGAGGGGAGAGGAGGAGAGGAGGAGAGGCGGAAGGGTGCTAGGCCTTGCCTTGAAATGGAGAGCCTGACTAGAATACTAATGCGTCTGAATTTATGCATCTCCTCAGTCTGCAGCCCTGAGAGAGGGGGGTGGGGGAGACAGAGAGAGGGAGAGAGAGAAAAGGGTGTGAGGGTGGAGGTGAAAGGGGGCGGTTATGTAGAAGAAGAGAAAAGTAAAACCATGGCTGATTGATTCCATCCATCTATTTTAGTTTGAAATAATCCCTGATTTCTGATGGTGTGTGTGTGTGTGTGTGTGTGTGGGTGTGTGTGTGTTGGGGGGTGCCCCTGGATGGAAGGAGAGCCAGCAGCCGAGCAAACAAGCAAAGCAAGCCAAGGTCCAGAGCAGCACTGCAGTATCCTTGAGCCTCTTCCACCTCATGCTGCTTCACTGTGGATGCTTAGAAAACCTCCACAAGCACCCTCCAAATGTGTCTTTAGAGAGTTACTGATACCTCCACATAAATAACTTACTAGTGAAAAAATGTGGGAAAACGTGTAAAGGACAGTGAGAAAAATATAACAGGTGCAAGATGAAAGCATATTTCAGAGGTATTAAATGATGAATTTTAGGTAATTATTTTTCCAAAATGCTTGAGGTCAGATGACTCGTTTTTTTGCAGATAATTGAGCCTCTGAATCAGATCCTGAGTAAGAGCGGACTGATCATCAGACAGGACGGCAACAATAGAGAAGCAGAAGTAGTGACTTGTGTTTGGAGGATGAACGGTTTGTTTACTGGCGAGGGATAATGGGACCGGCTGACTCACACCTTTTTCATAATTGCATCTCAAACCTTCTGTTCTCTTTGAATTTATTGTGTATCCTGTTTCAAAGACTTTGGTTGGAAGTTAAGAAGTCAAAAGTGTAAAACAAAAGTGGTTACCAAATTCTTCTAAATAAATTGTTTTCCAAAGCTTTTATTAATAGTGTTATTTTTCCCAAGTGTTTCAAAGAAATCTCTGAAAGTGAGTAAAGTGAATAAAACACATGGGGATCAAACAGGAGAAGCTTTTAAAGCAGGGCAGAGCAAATTTTAGAAAAAAAAGTTTGTGAGGCCCAATGATGTAGTGTTTGCAGTAAAGCTGGCATGGTAGGAGGTCAAAGAGAGGACATTGGACATCACATATCCCTTTAATTAGAAAGGGGGGAGAGTAGAGCCCCGCAGTCTAGAGAACACAGACAGAAACAAAACAGCAACCCACATGAGAGGAGTCATACATGGGAATAATCAATATCGGCTGCTAGTCCGCTACATGGTTGTATGACTCTGTCTCATCCTTCATTTTTAAGTTTATAAAATGATCAACTCTATGTCACTATTTTATTTTAAGTCTCATTTCCACCATAACGGCAAGGTCATACGTTTATGTTCACACCTCTTCAGTCAGGCCAGAGATTTGATCTGTGTCTTCCTACTGGTTGTTCTGTTGTGTTATAACTTATTCATGTCTTAAAGCAGTGATTCCCAACGTTTTTAGCTTGTGACCCCTTAAAACAAAGCAATGTCTACTAATTGGCTAAATTTTTTTCCCCCTTTGAATTGTTGGAATAGTTTGTAGGTGTTCAAACACCTAAAACTTTCCAGTAATTCAAAGAAAAAAGCAAAACAATTTGAGAATTTTAGTTGTGTAGGAGAAATATGTCTGTTTTTTAAAACTTTTTTTTTTTTTTGCTTTCACATCCTTTTAATAATCTTGTGACCCCCTCAGATTGACCCCTTGTAGGGGTGATGACCCCAAGGTTGGAAACCACCAAAGCTTATTTTACATTACACCTGTTGTAAGTGAGCCCTTATCTAAAATAAACAAGTACTGAAAACACAAGAAAAAAACTAAAACTAAAATAACTCAAAAGGTTTATTTAATACGTGAACAAATGAAAGTGAAGAAATTGAAATTAAAATGATTCCAGTTGTATTTTGTCACCATTTAGTAAATTATAAATTATAGCAAGATATTCAGTGAAAATTCCCAAAAAGACAAAAGATTTTCTTGTGGCAACCAAACTCCCTTATAAAAAAGCTCATTTTTAGAAACCAAAGTTCCAATACTTCCAGAAGCATGCTATAGAGCAGTGTTAATTAATGACAGAAGTGGATCAGGCTCACAGGCCTCTGCTGTTGTCAACACATACAGCAGATGAATTCAGGACGCCCTGAGGAATACCAACTCTCGAAAAGTATGTCCGGAAATCAGAACATTACCAGAGATAGTTGGTGGTGGGTTTTCTTGTTTCCTGCATCCTCGGCCTGAGAGAGTAAGTGAGGTTTTAATTTGTTCTGGAATGATTTTTTGGTGAACAATTTCCATGCTGTGAATTGGATAAACATTTTTTGCCAGTGCTTTTCACACATATTGCAGGGAACATTTACACACTTATTCATCACATTTTCTGTGTCTTTGTGCTCATGTTTGCCCACTTGAAAACACTTCTGCTACTGCAGGGCGCCGACACAACTTCAAAGTGAATCTAACCAAACCTGATAACTGATCACTGGAGGGCAGAGGACCTCAGTTGGTAATGATAGTGTATTAGAGGACAGAATCAATTGCAGAGTAACTGTAACTGAGAGCAGAGGAGAGAAGAAATGGATTAGGGTGGGGAAGGGGAGGGAGTGTCGAAGAAGAAGAGGAAGATTGAAGAAACTGCAATACGATGAATCACATAACGTAAAATCAATTTCACATCCTCAGTTCTGGCATCCCCTGACAGGGCGGAGCAGCTTCACTTTGTGGAGTGCGGGTGGGTGTAAGATATACAGTGCATCCAGCCAAGAGGATCTGAATTTGAAGAAGAATAATCAGAAAAATTCAACCTACTGGTAAAATTCACTTTTTTAAATTTCATCTCCTCAGATCAATTCATGCTCTTAGAAAGCTCCAGTTTTTATGTTCAGTCACTGACAATTAAATGTAAAAATGGTGTCAGCAGATCAGCTGCCTATGTGATCTCATTCTTCTTCCCTGTCGAGGCTGTGGCGGTCATGTCTTTGCAATTATTTTGACAATTAAAACTGTATTAAAGGTGTGCCATATGATAGCTCCATTAAGGAATATAGGAACTGGAGTGACATCTAGTGTGTTATTTTGAGGCTGACACTCAAACTGTAAACTTTGATGTGACTTTAAGTGGTCACACATGGATGCACACCTTCAGCTAAGAGGTCTACAGAGCCAAGAAGCATGCTCTCATGTTTAGAAAGGAGCTTTCGCCATCCCACTTACTCTCTATTAAACACACACACACACACACACAAACGAGTGGTATATGTGAGAGGAGAAAGGCCTGTTTATGGCTCTGAGAGAGTAAATCACTGTGTCTGATATCTTCATTTGAGACAGAGGGCTGATCACTGCTCGTCCTGCTTGTTCCACATTAACTCATTATCACACACGCTCACTCCATTAATTCTCTTGCTTTTATTAGCAGCAAGAGTGGGTACGCACACACACAGATACACACAGTGGACTGGTGACAAGCACTGCTTCTACCTCATCTGACAGCTAATGGCTTCATTAGGAGCAGCGTGTTAATTGGCTGACTTTGGGGAGACGCTCGTTAATGAGGATAAATAGATTCACACCTGAGCGGGGCGCTACCCAGCCACGGCAGCACTGTGGGAACTCTGGGTGACGAGCAAATGTGGACCGCAACTATGACTGCAGCACCTGTCCCTTTTTTAACTTCCTCCCAGCCCAAACACAGTTGTGCTTTCCTTGCCAGGCAGACTTATTAGCCAAGTGGTTGATTAGCACCAGGAGGCCAAAACAAAGAGCAGTATGTCAAAACAATTAGCCCCACTGTTTACCTCTCAGCTCCCAGGCTGACTACGAAATGCATCTAATCCAGGAGAGAGAGAGAGAGAGAGAGGGAGAGAGAGAGAGAGAGAGAGATGCATGGGAGTCAGCTCGACAGTTGCAGAAAAAGGACAACAGCTGGTCCATAGGCCAATGTGTGTGTGCAATGTGTGTGTTTCTGTGTGTGCATCGATGGGAGCAGTCCTTGTGCCTCAATCCATCTGCTTTCCTGCCTAGATCTCCATCCTCTGCTGTCTGGTCATGACAGCTCTGACACACACACACACACACACACTTTACACACCACTGGTTAGAGGGGCTCATGCTCTCAGGGGAGCGGGGGGTTGGACGGACAAAATGGAAGCAGGCGAGACTGATCATTTACATAAGGGTAGGACACAGACCCACTGACGGACGCTGTGTGTTCAACAGCCGTATAACTTCTTACTGGATAGTGTTACCACCTAGTGGTGGCTAACGCGCTTTGCATCTCATTTGTGTTTACTGGGAGAGGACACAAAGGAAGGTGAAGCTGCTTGGGATGTGGTCATTATTTTAAAGGGTCTGTTCACATAAATTTCAAGAAACAACGTTTCCTCCCTACTCATCCTCCTATCTAACCATGAAAATATTGTGGGTTTAAAGCTGCACTAATTCATATTTTTGTATTGAAGGTTATATATGATATTTAGAACATTAATTTAACAGCAAACAATGGTTTGATATGTAAATATATAGTGGAGTGAAGGCATCCTGAGCAGAGAATGACATCACACTGCCTCTCCCTGTTTTGATCCTTGAGCACGGTTGAGTTCTCCAGTCCAGTGCGTACACCTTATTGCATGCGTCTGAGAGGTTGTTTTTCTCATCTTTCTCTGTGGGTTAAGGATTTATTTTGGTTAATGATTGTTGTACAGGCTAACAAAGATAGTTTTAGGAGTTTTATTTTATTTCTGACCACTTTGAATGGAGCTGCGATGTTGCAATGATGTACGATCTTTATCTATGGAGTCTGGTGGCGAGCCATAGCAATATTAACAGCTGTTTCTGGTTAAACAAAAGGTCTGTCTCTGTAGGGATCATTTCCATAATGACAACAATCTGAGCCTGTCAGTGGCTAAAAACAAGCACTTTTAGTGGACGTACTTTGACTCCTGCAAGGATTACTTGCAGCCATTTTGCAAATATTTTCAAATCTAATTTTGTGACAAAAGGATTTATTTTGACCTAACCAACATTGGTGATTGTTGAAATGACCGTGTATTTTGTTTCTGACCAGCCATTAGCCAGTGAACATATTGGAGCACTTGCAGCAATAGAGCCAGATACTTCCCTCAGGAGTTGATGGAGACCAAAAAAAAGGCTAAAAGGAGAAATATTGGACTTACGTTTGCCATGTGGCCAGAAACACAACTCCAAATGAATGCTAATGTTAATCTGTATCAACTGGATGTGCAAATAGGCAATTGTTTGTTAACATGTTCACCATATGACCTTTATTTATTCCGTTTACCCAAAAATTTGCATGGCTTTGAGATCATTCCTCTCTAGATTTTTGCAGCTACCCCAAAACAATGAGTGTGGAAAAATGATTGTAATGCTTAAAACAGTGAAAATTATTATTTACATATTTTTTACATATACATTATTGCTACAAACACTTTTAGGGATAAATCTTCCAGTAAAAAGAAAGAAAGCTCACACAGTGAGGTCTGTGGATTATACAGAGTAATATGACTGTCTCTGAAAAAAGATGTCACTGTTGATTAAAAGAAAATTAAAAAGTAATTATAGTGTAATTATAGTGGGTTGGTGACAGAAATCTCTGGCCCGGATATCTACAAATCTGACAGAATAAAACCAAAACTTTCAGCATAGCTGGAGGTGAGAAATTATTTTGCTGTGTATTATAGGTGAACAAACCTTTTAAAGTGAGAGTATTTGAACAGACATGATACAATCTTATTCTTACAGATAAAAATGTAATTGATTAGCAATAAAACACACCCTTATTTGATTCAGTACACTCAGGGGTTTGCTGCTACAGCCTTACTTGCTCTGGTACAGTAGCTTATGTTGGCTAATATATTGCTGTGTAACATTACTGATTCAGTTCACCGGCTTTTCCACTCTTGTCTACTTGTGCTACTGTTACACTAAGTTTGATGATTTTATCATTAAGTCAAAAGAAGAAAACACTACCTCACCAACAATGAATGGAAATTCAATGTATCATGCAATTACAACTTTTTATGTAATGTTCAGCAAAGGTTACATAGTATTTCTGTTATATTGATGATTGGCTTTAAACCATTGTTAGTTTGTTGCTGCTGTAAATTGTGATGAAAAAAATCATTTCATTTCTGTGATAGAACAAAGCAGCTCAGACCACAATGAATGCATGTCAATAATGATCTTTAATGTCAATATATACAGAACTTGAAAGAAAAATAGAATCTTAAAAATCAAATGAAATAAATACAATATCATACAATTTCCACAATGTCTTTTTGAAGAGATATCCATGGAAATTTCTTTTTTTTTTTTTTTCTTAAA